AGTTACTATAATTAAATACCAAAATCAAAATATTAAAAATGCATTCACATTTAATTAGGTGACAAAGTGTTCTGTATCATACCCCTTCGTTACCAAAAACAAGTTGGTCAAGCAATTCCGCTGATGGTCTTGATGGGGCTGACCAATTAAGGGTCCTTGGCAAATAACTGTTGGGCTTTTTAATGCACACTCTTGATCTTCTCAGTTCAGGAAAGGTCTCAAACGCCCATATTTGAAGAGCAAAAATGTAGCCTGGAAATGTGGGTCTTTTATTTTTTCCTTCAAATACTAAGGCAGCACACTTTGGAAGCTTTTCAACCAAATCTGCCCACACAACATCGCCCCATGGATACCTATTGAACTCTTCAATGTTGTCTACTAGGTTGAGGTAAGCTGTAGGGATCTTTATTGTTGGCTGATTTCCAAGGATATAGTTTCCTAGCACATGCAACAAACCAACTTTAACTGCATCTAATTTCTCAATCTCCAGCTCTGCTCTTCTATTACCCAGGGTCTTGAAAACCTGCCTCAGATCTGACCTGTCAATGCTCCTCTTTCCATTGAAAAATTTTCGCCACACATCTCCCTGACGGGTTGCACTTAATGTGGGTTTGTTTGCTCCAAATTGAAAACCAGTTATCAAAGCGAAATCCTCTTTCTTCATTGTAATCAACTTATTTCCTATTTGAAACTCAATGGCTTTCTTCACACCACTTTCTTCCAAAGGCTCAACATAATTCCCAACAAGCATGCAAGTTGAGCACTCAGCCATGGATAGCCAAAAACTGTGTTCCTGAACTCCTCTAATTCATCTTCAGTCAAGACGCTACGCAGACTCTCTACAGCCTTAACTGGATTACAAAATGAATTGATCCTCATGTCAAACTTGTCCTTCAAAACGTGTGCATCGCAGTAACGCTTATATTCCTGTTCAATACCACGTCTCAGTATATTACATTGACATCAAAAATCATGGAAAAAATATGCATTCAGTACTTTTGTTCATAGTACAAATACAAGAATTACAATATACTTTATGTAATATTACTCCGCATCTCAACTCAGATTACTCTAATCTCACAAACCTAGCCCTCTCAAAATCACAGATATCAATTGCACAATCTAAAGTCAATACTACATTTCAATGCTTTACACACCATTATCAATCAATGCACTCCTTTAATTCGTTTCTATCATTAATTTTCATCTATGTAGTATAGTCTATAATGCAACACACCACAATATTCACTTCCAATGACTGCCTTAATTCAATTCCATAAGTACTCTGCTAAGATGTATGTATTATGATGCACATAATAAATAATTCAGTCACACTCAACTTAATATCAGCACACCACATTATATATACAACCAATGCATTTTTTCAATTCCATATATATCAAGGTTGTATCTCAAAATGTAGCTTTTTGTACAACACAATGCATTCAAACCTAGACTCCAATGCATCGCACATTTAGCTTCTACATAAATTAACACTATACCCCCACTAAGCTTGCATTCAATGCTTTAAAAAAATTCACCCACACACTCAAATGAATAGCGACTGCACTCACTACATAAACACTATACCATTGTCACTCATATTCGAAAAGTTATCCCTTCTTTAATTCAGCATACCACATTATACATTTGCAATTACTGCATTTTTTCAATTCCATATATGTTCTGCTCAAATGTTAACTATAATGCATAAAGTAATATATACCCTTTCACAGATGACTAAACCTCAATCAATAGCTATTTATACCACACAATGCATTCAAACCCACAATCCAATGCATGGCACATTCCGTTTGTGCATACATTAACACTATAAAAGCACTAAGCCACACGAACAACATCAATACCATTGTCACTCACTGAATCTCGCAAATATCATAGCAAAAACCATTCTCACATTCACATGCTAACATCACCGAAACGAAAAAACCCTACCAAGTAAAACTAATGGAATAATCCAACAAATTAAATCTAAGAATTCACCTTTCTGTCGATTGAAACTACTTGGTAGTTTATACCGCTGCTGTCTACCTTCGATTTCCCCTTTTTCGTAGCCATTTTTTTTCGATCTCCACTTCGACTCGGCTGAACTTCGTGCAAAGGTTCCGCTTCTTCTTTTCTCTCTCTGCGTTGCTCTCGTTGAATTTTGTTAGGTTTTTCTTTTCAATTCCTTCCATAATTGAATTCCTTAGAATTCGCGCCGATAATCTCTCGTTTCTCACAATTGCGGTTGCAGTGGGATTCTTTCCTTTCTTGCCGGCTTCTCTCACCAATGAACGATCTAGTACTGGGGAGGGTTTTTTTTGTCTTTCATAATTTATATTGGCCGCATTTAATTTTTTTCGATTGATTTTTAGTCATATGTTTGGATAAAAACTAGTACGGTCATATTGTTAGAATCCGTATGGGTTTTAGTAATATTACAGTTTTTTTCCCAATAATAAACTTAGAGTCCTAAGTTGAGTTTAGACCATGTTTTAGTCCTATTTAAGACAATTACTTTTTCCAATTTTGAAATGGGAAAATCAGAATGAAACTAAAGAAAATTGCTAGAGTTTAAATTCTTTCAAAATATGGGACACTAGCAGAGAAATGGGCTATTACGATTCTTTGTGTATGACTATCACAAGGCTAAAAAGTGTTGCTGATGCTTTTACTGGTACGTTGATTTTGCTTGTGTCGCTAGACCTCAACATGTTTTGTTCTTATTGTTATTGGTTATCTTTTTATTCAAATCATTTTGGATTCGAAATATTCAATTCAAATCAAATCAAATTATAAAGATTCAAAACAAGTAAAAATGATTCAGATCAAATCACATCAGAAAGATTCAGAGCAAATTGTTGGAACATATTGTTTTGTTGATGACAAACAGCTAGTGTTACTTTTGGTTATAAGTCGTGCTCTGGAACAAGCCATAGAACTAGTTTGAGAACTGCACTGCGAATCTGAGATTGATTAATCTGGCTTGCTTAAAATATCTTTTCTCTCCATTTAATTTCGGATCTATCTTGCTAAATTAAAGAGAACCTTTTAGCAAGGAAATAATCAATGATCATACTAAGAAAGGATTTTTCTTAAGAGGAAAATTATTTAAATCAAAGGCATAAATTAAGAGATCTTTGTAAAAAGCAAGTTTCCAAAATAAAAGGTGTTATTCAAAATTCAAAAAGCATTTTCGTGAATCTCCTCTCACAAGGAATGTTTCCTTGAGCAAAATAATTTTCTTCACACAAATATAAACAATATCTTTTAATACCTATAAAGAAATATTTTTTAATAAATTCCATGCAAGAGGACCGGAATATATATGGATATCCAAGCTATTAAAAGATAGTACATGAACTCCTGATCTTGCATGTTTAAGAAGATCGAGCTCAAGGGAAAGAATTTGTTGAATATGTGATTTTGTTGATGACTAACCCTGCAGGTGGAACGGGAGACAGAACCGGTCTCAGTTCCATACGGAACGAAAAACAGAACTATCCTTAGTTCTATTCTGTGTGAACGGATGACTTACATGATTAATATGTGCTTGCATGCATGGGCGGAGCTAGGGGTGGGTCAACCTAGGCCATGGTCCACCCCAAATTTAAAAAATGGCTTAATTTTTAAGGTAAAAAAATTCGTGTAAATGTTTTTTCTAAACATTTTCTTTGTATCGGCCCAGTCTGGCCCAGTGCCCTGACTTCGCCCCTGCTTGCATGATAATACTATTGTTGGGTTGATTTGTCACCTACGTGTCAAGATCTTATTTGAAATAAGTCATGCATATTATGAATACACGTAATACATAGTACAATTTAAATCTCTTTACATGCATGATGGGATACCCACTTAAATTAGTTTAATGCTTTATATGGAAAGAATTCTTTTGACCGTAACATACTTATGAGTGCTAAGAATTGACCATGACAAAATTATACTTGTTAAGTAAATATTATTTTGCTTTACGGTTTGAATTATTATCCTTGATTAAGATATTTAAAAAAATATCTTAAAGAATCTTGACTTGCTATTGCATGATTGCATGTTGACCGTGCATGTCTATATTTTAAGCAAATAATCTATTGCTTTTTAAAAGGCTCCTTGATTAAAATATAAATGATTTGGTGATAAGTGAATTAACTATCTTTTTTTATACGGATATTATTCTCTGGTTGCTTGCTTATACATGTTGAGTGAATATATCTATATGTGCGGATATTTAGTATTGTCCTTGAGATATGATCCGAGTCCATGTCACTCAAAGAGGAAAGCAATTCAAAAATATCAAGGCAAGTCCATTAATTTACCAAGCAACCAGCTAAGGAAAGAGGAGCCAACAGACGTCTTGCATGAGGCTATATATATGACGGAAGATCAAGAGAAGAACGTGTGCTTGACCAAGATAGACATCGAGAGAGATATTCATAAAAGAAATACTGAAGTTCAAGGCACCTGAAACTGCTCACACGAAGTTCTAGATACAGTTTATTCTTTCCCTTCTTCATATTGTAATGGGGTTTTGAGGATTGACTAAGTGTAGCATCCTCGGATTGGTTTGTATGTTGTGAGACCTTTGTTGTAAAGCTGAGAAGCTCTCTACCCGCAAGGTAGAGAAGCATAACTTTTCCTAGAGAGGATAAAGTTGGGGTGGCTCAATGGTAGACTAGGAGAGTTTCCCTTGTAATCATTCAAAGGTTTTTTAGTGAAGTTGTTAAAATTCCTCCGAGAGAGATCGAAGTTTTTTAATCCCTTTGAGTCAAGCTAAGGGATATTTCCTCATTAAATCCTTGTGTACTTGACTATTTCGCAATTTCCTATACCCCACACTAGAACATGGCGAAAAACTGCCACAGTTCCACACACACAATTCACCCCCCTCTTGTGTTGCTAACCGTTTCATCACAAATCATATCAAAAATACAAAAAAAATCAAATCAGATTAGAAACATTTAAACTAGATCAAATTAGAAAGCTCTAGGTTAGATGAACAGAAAAACTTTTTAGTCTTTGATATGAACTACAAATTGTTTTCTAACAAATAAGGCTTTAACAAATTTAAATAAATATATTCCATAATATAATGTTAACTAGAAAAGTGGAACTGAGAGCGTTAGACATACTCTCAATTTATTACGAAACATGTACTCAATATTATTTTCCTCATAATGAACAAAAAAGCAACTTAATGTTTACATACAAGCTAGTCTACTTGAACACACACATCACTCACTTGTCTTCATCATTTTGCTTCCAATTCTTCGGTGTTTCTCAATAAAATTTTTGTACCAATTTGCTGATAATTTCGGAGTTCTCTTGAGAGTGACACGATCAACTTGATATAGCCCCATAAATTTTGAAAATCCGAAAGCCCATTCAAAGTTATCCATCAATGACCAAAGAAAATACCCCCTGACATCTGCGCCTTTCCTGATCATATACAAGAAAAACCAAAGAGTTGCTAACTCACTCAATTCAATACTTTACAACCCCTTTTTCATATACGGAGTAACAAACTAGACCTGTTGGATTTGATTGAGCAGAAATCTATAAACATCACGTGAACTTAGGTGAACCTATATATACATGAGGGACGCTACTTGTACACATAATTTGTACACATTTGTTGTACACACTGTCTAGTTGTCTATGTATGCGGGAGCTTCTGAATAAAAATATTAGGTCAGGTTAATTCAATGATTATTAGGTTAATTCAATTGTATCCCAGAAAATTTAATCTAGGTGAATATGTTAAATTTAATTATAAAGAGACATAACTACTGAAAAACTTTGATTTGGATGTTTTCGAAAACTAGATTATTTAATAATCACAAACATTTTGTACCTGATGACTGCTCCTATGGCGTCTAGATAACCTTCCGTATAGTTGATCCGCTTTGTATCATTCATCATTTCTTCAATACTAGGGTTTGAAGTTGTGTCACAATAACCTGTTAGATGTTGCACGATCTCATACTTCCTTCAAGTTCAATTGCGCACACACACACCCATAGGAAGTATGGGAGAAAGGATCAATAATCGATCTTACCATTTTCAGTTATATAAAGTGGAAAATTTGGGTATCTCTTTGTCACGTAAGTTATAATATTCTCCATTCCCCATGGAGTATTAGCCATATCAGGCAACCCTGTCTACAAAAGCCAATAATACTTTATCGTAGTTAGAAAATATAAAGGAGAGTCATCAATATAAAGCATTTTTTGTTAGTACCGGTTCGGGCTTTAGTTTACTTGTGTATAAATATAAGGTTGGGCCAAGGGCTTTGTTTGTATTAATCCTTGTATAAATACTCTTGTATTTGCTAATAGAATCAAGAAAGATAATTCTCCCAAATTATTCCATTCGTTCCAACATGGTATCAGAGCCGTTTTTAGGCTAGCCGCACGCATCGTTCTTCTTCCTCGACGAGAAGCACCAGTGTGCTTAAAACTCGCCGCCATGGTTGATACCTCTTCGCCTTACTATTTAGGCCCGGGGGATCAACCCGGAAACCTTATCACTCATGTGATATTCAAAGGAGACAATTACGTAGCTTGGTCACGCGCGTTTGCTCTCTCCTTGAAGGCACGCCAGAAGCACGTCTTCATTGATGGAACCCTTAAAGAGCCGACCGATCCTGCAAGGAAGCTTGATTGGGAAACCAATAACTCCATGATAGTTTCATGGATATTACGAAGCATAGAACCAAATGTTGTTATGTCCATACCGTTTCATGACGAAGCACGGAGGTTATGGGAGTATTTGGAGAAGCGTTATAGCGTGTCCAATGGTCCTCGTTTGCAGCAACTCCGTGCGGCCATAACAGAATGCAGACAGAATAAATCTATGACTGTGGACAGCTACTACACAAAACTTATGGGACTGTTTGATGAATTACATCGGCTAAAGCCGCTTCACGTCTGCTCGTGTGGGCTATGCACGTGTGACGTAGTCGGAAAGTTTGCCGCCGATCGAGAGGAAGAGAAACTTCATCAATTTCTTGTTGGAATTGATGATGAGACATATGGGACGGTGAGATCGAATCTGTTGTCACATATTCCTTTGCCGGATCTCAATCGTGCGCTTCAAGCATTCTTACAGGAGGAAAATTCAAGGGCAATAGCACGAGGGAAGACCGTGGCTGTGTCCGATGCTCAAGCTTTTGCTCTTAGGGCTGATCGGTCGGTTAAAAACCGAGATGACAAAACAGATCGTGTTCGTCCAGTATGTTCGCATTGCAAGCAAAAGGGGCATGAAGTGACGACGTGTTTTAAGCTCCATGGTTATCCGGAGTGGTGGGAGGAGCGCCAACGAGCAAAAGGTCAAGCAAGTCGTGAGGGAAATTCTGCCCGAGGAGGACATGCTCGCACACACGCCGTGGCAGCAGCTCCACCCGCCGTGGCAGAAGCTGGCAGCTCGACCTCTGGGAGTGAATTAAACAGCTTGCCTTCTTTGAGTAAGGAGCAAATCCAGGCACTTTTAAACTTGCTTAATGATGAATCTCGTTCTAATGAACGCATGTCGGGTAAGATTTTATCTCATCTTGATTGGATCATTGATACTGGAGCCTCACATCATGTCACGGGTGATTTTGCATGTCTCATTGATCCTGTTCGTATAAATACTTGTCCTGTTGGTTTACCGGATGGCAGGAAAGTTGATGCAAACTATGAGGGCCGTGTACCTTTGTCACGTGGTCTCACGCTCCACAACGTTTTATATGTGCCGGGGTTGCATTGTCATCTCATTTCGGTCTCGCAATTGACTGACCAATCTCATTGCCTTGTCACATTTACTAATACTCTTTGTGCTATACAGGACCTACGCTCGAGGAGCCTGATTGGAGCCGGTGAGAGGCGAGATGGGCTGTTCTACTTCAGAAGATTACCTACACTGCATGCGGTTCAAGGGGATGGTCTGACAGAGTTTGAGTTGTGGCATCACCGTTTGGGTCATCCTTCAGATCGGGTGCTAAAGTTATTACCGTGTTTTTCTACTAATACTGTTCCTAAGAAATTGAATAAAGCTTGTGAAGTTTGTCCCCAAGCTAAACAAGTCCGAGATTCTTTTCCTCTTAGTAATAATAAAGCTACCCGGATTCTTGAATTAATTCACGTTGATTTATGGGGTCCTTATAAAACTCCTTCTACCTGTGATGCAATTTATTTTCTCACTTTGGTTGATGATTACTCTCGGGCTGTCTGGGTTTATTTGCTTCGGGATAAAACAGAGGTTCATAAGTATTTTCAGTCATTCTTTGCTATGGTTGAAAAACAATATGAAGTGTCTGTCAAAACTGTGCGTAGTGATAATGGAACAGAATTCAATTGCATGTTGCCATTTTTTGATGATCATGGAATTCTGTTTCAAACTTCGTGTGTTTATACACCGCAACAGAACGGGCGGGTGGAACGTAAACATAGGCATATTTTAAATGTGGCCCGAGCCTTAATGTTCCAAGCAGATGTGCCCGTGAAGTTGTGGGGTGAGTGTGTGCTCACGGCGGTGTATCTCATTAATAGGACACCGTCTGGACTCCTGGGAGGCAAGACCCCGTACGAAGTTCTTACCGGGGTCACACCGGCATTTGACCATTTACGTATTTTTGGTTGTCTTTGCTTTGCGCATAATCCTGCTTCTAGGAGTGATAAATTTTGCTCTCGTAGTCGCAAATGTGTATTTGTTGGTTATCCCCACGGGAAGAAGGGGTGGAAGCTCTATGATTGGTATACTGGTGATATATTTGTGTCCCGGGATGTAAAGTTTCATGAGACCGAATTTCCGTTTCGGCTCTTGGGTTCTACACCCGACCCTGCGCACGCCATGCCTCCACTTCACGTGTCCACCCCGCTGTATGAGGCTGAGCCCTCGCATACTATTCCACCCATGCAAACAGCCCCTGACACTGCTCCACTTCCGGCCTCAGTCATGACCGAACACGATCACTCTCCTGCACTGGGCCGCGGGTTACGTGCCAAAAGGACATCGGTTTTGCTTCGTGATTTTGTCACCAATAATGTTGTCATGAGCCCATCTCCGTCTTCACTTGGTTCCGGTCCCTCCTCAGGTACTTCCTACCCTATAGCACCTTATATAAAATGTGACAAATATTCTTCCCGCCATCGGGATTTTCTTGGTGCTATACTTGCAGGTCATGAACCCCGCTCTTTTAAAGATGCTATGGCTGATCCAGGTTGGCGACAGGCCATGCAGAATGAAATCCAGGCTCTTGAAACTAATAAGACTTGGACCATGCAACCGCTTCCTTCTGGTAAAAAGGCACTCGGGTGTAAATGGGTCTACAAAATTAAGTACCATTCTAACGGTACTATTGAACGTCTGAAGGCCAGATTGGTTGTTTTTGGGAATCATCAACAGGAGGGTATCGATTACACCGAGACATTTGCACCCGTTGCCAAGATGGTTACTGTTCGGGCTTTCTTAGCTGTGGCCGCGGCGAAGCAATGGGAGTTACACCAGATGGATGTTCATAATGCATTTCTGCATGGTGATCTACATGAGGAGGTTTACATGAAACCTCCCCCTGGCTTTTATTCCTCACGGCCTGGTCTTGTTTGTCGTCTGACAAAATCTCTTTATGGTCTTCGTCAGGCACCTCGATGCTGGTTTTCTAAATTGGCGCATTCTTTGCGTCAATATGGGTTTATTCAGTCATATTCTGATTACTCATTATTTACTCTTCGTCAGGGGCAGGTTCAGTTACATGTTCTTATTTATGTGGATGACTTGATTGTCAGTGGTAATGATTCTGCTGCTTTATCTAAATTCAAATCATATTTGCATTCATGCTTCCACATGAAAGATCTGGGGGTTCTTAAATATTTTCTCGGTATTGAAGTTGCACGTGGGTCCGAAGGGCTATTCTTATGCCAACGCAAGTATGCCTTGGATATTATTTCTGAGACCGGACTTCTTGGCTCTAAGCCGGTTTCTTTCCCTATGGAACCTAATCATACGTTATCTCTGGCTACGGGTGATCTATTGTCTGATCCCGCATCATACAGACGTCTTGTGGGCAGGCTTATTTATCTTTCTTTTACTCGCCCTGATTTAGCCTATGCTGTTCATACTCTGTCACAGTTTATGCAGGCTCCACGAAAAGAACATTGGGATGCAGCTCTGCGAGTGGTCCGTTACCTGAAAGGTACCCCGGGCCAGGGTATTTTGCTACGTACCACGTGTGATTTTTCTCTACACGGTTGGTGTGATTCTGACTGGGCCAGTTGCCCTCTCACTAGGCGTTCTCTTACTGGTTGGATGGTTTTTCTTGGTGATTCTCCTATTTCTTGGAAGACTAAAAAGCAACATACCGTGTCTCGTTCTTCTGCTGAAGCCGAATATCGTTCTATGGCTGCCCTCACGGCAGAATTGAAATGGCTTAAAGGTCTTCTTTCGACTCTAGGTGTCACTCTCCCAGGTCCGATGTCTTTGCACTGTGATAGTAAATCTGCTCTTCATATTGCTCACAATCCCGTTTTCCATGAACGTACCAAACATATTGAGGTTGATTGTCATTATGTTCGTGACGCCATTCGGGATGGAATGCTCACTACCCAACATGTTTCTACCACAGAACAGCTGGCCGATATATTTACCAAAGCATTAGGACAGAAACAATTTTCTTATTTACTTCTCAAGTTGGGCATTTTTGATCCGCATGCTCCAACTTGAGGGGGGGTGTTAGTACCGGTTCGGGCTTTAGTTTACTTGTGTATAAATATAAGGTTGGGCCAAGGGCTTTGTTTGTATTAATCCTTGTATAAATACTCTTGTATTTGCTAATAGAATCAAGAAAGATAATTCTCCCAAATTATTCAATTCGTTCCAACATTTTTCTGATTTACATATTACATAATTTGTTAATACATACTCAGCTCAGATAATACGTGTATTTCTTAAATTTGAGTGGGTCACGGCCTACTAAGACCCCCCACCTAGCTACTCCTTTGTAAGTAGACGTGCATAGTAAATGTTGTCAAGTAATAAAGTCTAAGGGCCTGTTTACTTTGGACTTAATGAGCTTAATAGAAATTTGGACTTATTCGCTCAGCCATATAATGGTGTTTACTTGTGACTTAATGAAAATGAGGACTTATTCGCGCAGACATTTTAGTACTTATTGGCTCAGCCAAATTTTAATACTCCTTACCATTCAGACCTAACTTTACAGCCCGATTCTCTTTTATAACCCTTGCGTATACTTCACCGCTGCGGCACATCACTTATGCGACTCTGCGAGCTTCACAAATCGGCGACCTAAGAAGTTGACCAATCAGCCAACCAACGAACTTCACCTTGGTATTTCCTTGTATTTCTTATATGCTTTTATATTTTTGTTTCTCTCTTTCATAGATTGTAGCCTTCCCCTTCTTCATTATTGTCCAGTTATTAAACTTCAATCTAGTTTCGGTGTATGTTAATATGAGAAATAGATTATAGATGACCGCAACATCTGGAACCCACTGCTTTACTACAGCTTGAAACGGCCGCAGCATCTAGTTTCTACAGATTACTACAGCTTTACTACAGATTATAGATGACCGCAACATCTAGTTTCTTCAGCTACGAGAAGAAATTGCTAATAAATTAGTAGGAAATGTTTATATTAAATATGTTGTCGTAATACTCTTGAACTTGTTTGGTTGTTTTTGTGAACTTGTTTGCTCAGCAATTTAATATTATAATAAATTTTATGCAATAACAATGTTATCCAGATTAGTTAGAGTAAATAGACAATATAGTTTCATCACTTGTTACAAGCAGAAGGATAAATTCGTAAAATGACATAATTCAGACTATACATTCAGCACACAAAGTAAACAGTTCGTTATACCAGTGACACTTATTCCAAACAGGACTTGATAGAAAAAAGTAAACAGGCCCTAAATGATATAATAATTAATTATTGGTACTAGTGCATTTTTGTACCTCAAATATTGAATAAAGCAAATTGCAACGTTTAACAGGGCCATTTTTTTGTGCGTTGTGCTACGTGTACACAAAATGCATGTGTACATTCTTTTGTACACTCGTTTATCCCCGCAGACAACTCTTGTAGAATTGTCTGTGGACAGACAACTTGTCTGCGAGGGACAGACGAGTGTACAAAAAAGTGTACAGTACACCACACATTGTTCTTTTTTTTAGTCTTGGATAAAAAAAATTCTTGATAGCCTTTTGCTCCACGAAAATTTGAGAAAAAGAAAATGTGTGATTAGTTATTTTTACAAGGTCATGATTTCAGTATGACTATATGACTCCACGAAAACTTGATGCTGATATGTTGGAATGACTAAATTAGATTAGCAACAATATTATTTCCTACACTGGTTAGACAAATCAAAATCATAATTTTCTAACCGTGACATATGAACGAATGAATTTCATGTAATCTTTATGGGAAAAGGTCGTGGAGTCACATTTCAAGAGAATAAATTGAAACATTTGAATATAGTTAGGATTTAGGGTAATGATTTGACCTATTTAAGATGTTATTAAGATGTTTTTAATTGGACTGAAATTTGCTAGTCCAGTCTGATCTGTACTGCTCTATTTAAGTCTGATTTAGTCTGAACTGATCTTATCTGGTAAATGTCTAGTTGTTGTGTACTTTATAACCGTCGAAGTCAGATCGGGTATGTCTGTTTCAGTCTGATTTGATTTGTTTAAGTCTGGTCTGATTTGTTCATGTCTAGACTAAAACTGTCCAATTAAAACAAACTTATTTAGTTGTGGTGCATCTATGCTGCTCCATCTTTTTTTTTTTGTTATCTCTCTAATTTGAATTATTGGTGCTAGGGAGAATGATTACCAATTCCCCAATGGGGACACCATTCTTTGACATAGTTACCCCCGCAAAGCCTTCTGCTTTGTTGTTGCCTTTCATAGACGGATCACATGTAGAAAACAAGCAATCTTGGGCGTAGATGGTAGTGTAATGGTTGATGCCTATAAAATCCAACCCATTTCCCAACATTTCCATATTAGATGTTGAAAACTCAGGTAAAAGTGGCCCCAAAACGTCCTTCATTTCTTTAGGATATGTTCCATAGATGATTGGATCCATGTACCTGCATGTTAATATATTGTTCCAAACAAATCGAATTATTCATGAGAAATAACTGTGACTAACATCATCATATCATACAATTTAGTTTGATTGAATGCCTTGATACGAACTATACCAGTTTGAGAAGAAGGACTGAGCTCTCTCAGCTGCTGCCTTGTCCAGTGTGGAGTTGCTCATCGGTTCATACCAGTAAAAGTCCATTGCAATTCCTATCTGCCCTCCTTGCTTTTCCTGTTGGATTAATTAATAATAAAGATAAGCTGGCTTTTTACTCTATATATAAGATCAGAAATATTGTCTAAATAACTACGTAGTATTAATTAGATTAATGGTCTGTTAAGGGAGTGTTTGCTAAACACTACAAAAAAACCTCCAATCTGCTACGGATTATTAGCGACGGAAATTACGGTTGAAACTTTCCGACGGTCTTACCAACGGAATTAGCAACGGACCGTCGCAAAACCGTCAGAAATCCGTCGAAAGTTTGGTAGTTATGTGGACCGTCGCTTAGCCGTCGGTAGCCCGTCTCCTTTCCATTCGGTCAGTAATTTTCCGTCGCAGTTTGGTTGCCGTTCCTCATTATCTCCTTTCCAAACCCTTGAATCACTCAAAACACATCCTTATCTCTCTCTCCCTCTCCCTCTCCCTCATACGAACCACTCAAAAACATCTTCACGCTCAAACCCTTGAATCCACAACGACATCTTTGCCGCCGCACCTAGCTTCGACCGCCGAACACCCTCAAATGCTCGTCCTCAACGACCCCTCTGCGGGCGCGTCTACCTCGGACTGGAGACCGCATATCTGGGTATATACATTTACACGATCTAGTATTCTGTATTTGTATGTATGATATTATTATTATTATTATTAAGTTTTTTAATAATCTTCGACTAACCTGCATCTGTATTTGTAAAATGCTACTAATATAAATTCCATTACTTCTCTAAGCTCTCAACTTAATCTATATATCTAGCCTAAACCATACAAATCCACTAGTTCGGTTTCTGCCTGTGTTAAGAACCTGAAATATTGCTATGTTCTGTTTTTGATGAGTAGGGAGGATTTGTTGTTTAATTAGAAATGTATGTAAGAACATTACGTTCTAACTTTCTTTTTTGGTAATATGTGTAGTACTATGAAACTGCTTTGTAATACTTACAAAAACAGAGTAATCTTTAGTCGTGGATATTGTATGATCTCAGTATTAATCTGCTTTGTAATATAAAAACAGAGCAATCTTTACTCGTAGATATTATATGAAGTAATGAACTCAGTATAAAACTTTCTTGAACTAAGAAGCCATAGTACTTGTAGCAATTATATGTACTTTGTATTACTTGGTATATGCATGTTTTAATGTTTATAAACTGAATAGATCTGGATGAGTGGTAAATTTGTTCTAGTGTGTATATTAGAGAGCTGGAACAGGCGTGATTTATTTTTTCACAGCCCGTAAATGAAACCGTAAATTTTTTTTTAAATTAAATTCAATTAGAGACGGTTATTTCCGTCGGTAAATGAAAAGGAATATAGCCCTAGAGCGACGGATATATCCGTCTGTATTAGCTACAGATAAAGTGGCTGCAAAGTCGTCATTGATTTTTTAAAACCGTCGCTAAATTCCGTAGCTAGACTTTGCAACCACCGTATTTCGACGGATAATTTCCGTCTCTACACCGTCTCTGATTATAAGATCCGTCTGTATTTTCATTTTTTCCGTTGCTGTTTTTGTCGCAAATCGTGTGGGTTTTTGTAGTGAAAGATTAAAATAAGCGTTTTACAACTTTTGGCTTAAAAAAAAACTGAAATTAGTGTTTTCAAATGACAACTTTTGCTTAAATTAATCACTTAAAAGCTAAAAGCTGGAAGCAGGTTGAGAGGTGCTTTAAACTACTTATCACTTTTTCTATTACACAAAAAGCATGTATTCTATCAAACACTATCAACTTTTACTTTTTCATAATCACTTTTTTCTCAAACACTATCAATTTTTACTATTAAAAATCACTTTTTCCAAAATCACTTTTTTAAAGTACAAGCAATTGCAAACACTCTCTAAGCAAAGCATAAATGGGAAGATGAGTCGTGATAAGCTAAAAGATAATTTAATACTCTATTTGACAAAGAAGATCAATGATACACTCAATTCGACCCGACCCGATCCATTTACATCTATGTGGGAGTGCCCCGCTTCAGAAAATTTCTGGGTCCGCCACTGCACATGTGTGTGTATGTATGTACATATAAGAAATTACCCTAAGTAAGAATATAAATAATCTGAAATTTTCAAATAGGAGAGCTATGCTGTTTTCGTTAAATATGAATAATGACGATCATGCTTGGAATGTTCTCAATTATGGCATTAATAGAACCATATAGGCATGGAGACAGGTCAGAATGGTACAAGATAAGCCTTTGTCATATTTAAATCGGGACCGTGATTATTCAAAATGGTTTGGGACTTCCCAAATTAACAAAAGAGTACTTAACATAAAAAAACATTTTAGCATTTCTACTGTACCATGCATGAACAAATTAACATTTCAAAAGTCTATTAGATTTAAACAAAAGCTATTAGATTTTCATTGTGTTTATTAAAAATTGAAATTTAAATTTAAAAGGAAGTAGAAAATGAAATAATTTATTCAAAATAATGTGGTCTAAGTGTGAAAAAATCATATGCAAATATATAGAGTGAGATAACAACTTACGTTAGTAAATATTTATGTTAGGTATAATTATTTGAATTGAAATGGGACGATTTGAGATAATGTGATAAATGTGACTAGTTTGTGGTGCCCTAGGTTAATCATATACGTGAAAAAATGGGAGTACAGGACGGTTGGGGGTACCCTTCCGGTGTCCAAGTCATGTCCCGTTTTAAACCAGTATAACATCGGTGCGAGACAAAAAATCGTGTCTCAAATGGAATGTGCCAATATTAGTACGATTTCGGTACATTTCAAAATGGGACACATTTCAAAATGGGACAACGTGATTAGGATTCTTGTCCAACCCTAATACCATATTAATTAATGGAGTAATGTCAAGATGTGATAGCATTATTATAGTGTAAATAATGCATTTAAGGAAAAGATATAATAGTCCTATTATAAAGTTTCACATTATTGTTACTCCTATTTAGGAAAACTTCCTTATGTATTGTTGTGTTCACATTATATACGCTCACACACATTACTCTTACTAAACTTTTCATAGAGAAATTGATGAGAGTTTGTGTTCCGAAAGGTAGACACATTAATTGTGTTAGTAATAAAAGTTAGTTGTGTTGTATTGTTGTAACGTGCATGGTGAGAGGTGTTTTGCATAACTCACTCAACACCTTTATTATTTACTTTATCAACAGTCCAATTTAATTGGAGTGTTTTGGGGGTGTTGGACAAACATTTGCTCTCTATGTCACTCTCGTTTTGTTTCAATTGCCTCGATCTAGGCATAACTACAATTTTGTATATCGTTTGTCATGGGAGAAGGTTTATTTGTACAACAATAGTGCCAAGGAATTTTCTCCTCGGTCGATGTGGGAAATTGATGTTTGGTTAATTGCTTCCTACGAAGGAGGCTTATACGGACTACGGAGCAATAATCAAATTATTCCAAATATTGAGCAAATTGATGTTTGCTTCCTACGAAAAGCATTATAATCAAATTGGGAAAATGGGCAAATAAGGCCACGTAGTAACAAAAAAAGGTCAAATAAGACCTTATTTATGAGACTATGTCCGGTCTTTGCCATTTGGGGTGGTTCTTGGTGAAATTTTTTGATGAAATTTTTTAAGCATCTTATTCATTAAGTCTAGTTTACTCATATCAAATTTCAGCTAACAATTCAATTGGGAAGGTATTCAAATGAATTCTTGAAGATAATTGCGCTTTTAGCTGCACAATTATGTTCAAGAATTCATTTGAATGCTTTCCCGATTGAAGTTTTAGCTGAAATTTGGTATGAGTAAACTAGACTTACTGAATAACATGCTCAAAAAATTTTATCAAAAAATTCCTCCGGGAACCACCCAAATGGCGACGGCCGGACAGAGCTGGTTAAATAAGACCTTATTTGACCTTTTTTGGTTAGTACATGGCCTTATTTGCCCCTTTTCTCTATTTCAAATATGACAAATACGCTACACAATATTAAATAAATTATTATTCGTTGAAATAATTACAATTTTATGACTAAAATAAATGGTATTTATAAAATGTAACTTTTTAAATGTGGTGATTATAATAATTTAGTCATAGTAAATTATATTCAATTTTCAGAATTAAGTGATCATGTCATTATACTCATAACTAATATAATAGGGATATTTATGTATTTTACATGAAACTCTTTTCCTATAAATATATCTGCTAGAGCTCTTTAGAGAGCATCTTGTTCCATTCTCTCACATGTTATCAAGCTGACGCACAACCCAACCAAAAGAAACCGCAAGGGTAAGACAATACGAACTGTCACTTCTATGCACTGCCTAGACTTAAATGGCTTCACACTTATTCGTGTTGTCTTGACATGCCTTGCGTTTTTTAGAACATGATTATAGCTCATTGAAAATTCGCTCAAAGAGTTAAGTACTCCCTCCGTAACATTCATATCTTCTCACTTTCCTTTTTTGGACGTAACATTTATATCTTCCCATTTCTAAATCTTCTCATCATACCCTCAATAATTTAAAAAATAATACACTACTACACCTACTTTTTTGGATTTATCCTTCATTCCATCACATTATTTCATCATCTTCCCATCATACCCTCAATAATTCATACTCTATTTCACTATTCTTAATCTCACCCACTTTGGACGTAACATTTATATCTTCCCATTTCTAAATCTTCCCATCATACCCTCAATAATTTAAAAACTACGAGTAATACACTACTACACCTACTTTTTTGGATTTATCCTTCATTCCATCACATTATTTCATCATCTTCCCGTCATACCCTCAATAATTCATACTCTATTTCACTAATCTTAACCTCACCCACTTTGGAAGTGGGAAGATACATCTGATACGGAGGGAGTATGTCTTTTAAAATCAAGTGTATTTTGTTAACAAATATTTTTATTTTGACTGTTTTGTTAGTTAATAATCCGTACTTGGACATAAAGTAATAATAATTTATCATTAAGAGAGTACAAAATATATTATACTCCCTCCGTCCCGCAAAGATGTTCCCGTTCACTATTCATTGGTCAACTTAGGTCACTCCTAATCTTTTACTTTATATATCAAATTTTTATCAAATTGAAATTTTCTTGATCAGACTTTGTAGCGGTTTTAATGTTGTTTCTGAATTTCTGAATATGTAAATTTTATTTACTAAAAATAATATGAGTGTGAACAAGGATCAAGTTGCTTTTGCAGAGGGTCCCTGCTTTGTGCTTTGTTAATTAGGACCGGCCCTGCATATGCATCTACGAAGCATTATACTTGTATATCAGAAACCAAAAATGTTTTATATGGCCCGAATAATTGAATTAAAGCAATCAAAACTGGTTATAGTCCTATTTCATAGAAATTTAAAAACATTTAATCTTTTACTAACATTCCATCTTTTTATCCCTCCCAATATAAATTTATATTGGAATTTTATCAATTCAGGACCCGAAAGATAGATTAATTACTCTTAGTCTTACCTAGTTTCTTCTAACCATTGCATGTTTTCACTCTTTAACATTTTTATTTCGATCCTAAATAAAAATAGGATCCTAGAACAAAGCAAACTTAATTAGACTTGACCAGACAAGACTTCTGCAATTATAAAATACACAGACACTAGAAATCTACCATACAATTCAGATCAGTCTAAACCAGTTCAGACCAAACTAAACCAGAGACAAACAGACCAGGCCAGGTAAGAAAATTTCAATCCATTAAAAATCATATTCCCTCCGTCTCATAAAATTCTTCCCAATTTGACTTGGATTGGAGTTTAAGAAACTGAAAATAAAGCGAAAATGTATGATTGTAGTGGAGTAAGAAAAATTTAAGGAAATGTTAGTCATACAAAATTTTCCAAAAAGGGAAATTAGACGAATTGTTTAGGAGATCTCAAAATTGTATAATTGCAAGTTAAAAGAATTTCATGGGACGGAGTGCTAACAACTCTCTATTTACAAAATCTAGACCAACCAATAGCCAAATTGTTCATTTGCCAAATGAGTGAATGACAGAGATTTTTGGGCATTTGAGTTGGTACGGACCTGGTAATTCTTTCTGTAAATGTTGACAGCTGAAGCATGGGATAAGATCATATTGTGCCCTACAATAAATATTTCTTTTTCAGGAACGATTTCAGTACAACCTTCTTCCTTCGCTGCTATGGTACACCGATTGGGTGGCCACTGCCCATAAAGATAACCCATCCTAGCCAATACATTTGGCTCATTGAAGGTAACCCAATACTTAACGCGGTCGCCTAGATTCTTAAAGCACACGTCTGCAAGATGTTCAAATTCTTCCCTGAAATTTACGTTCTGATTAGCCATCCCTGAAATTATTGCACCTTTTTATTTGAGACTTTAATCTGAGAAATAATGCATAACAACTTACTTAATTTCAGAGCCCTGCCATCCTTTGAATCTATCCTCGAATTCTTGAGGGAGATCATAATGATTCAATGTTACGAACGGTTCGACTCCTATCATGGCATGTCAAAAGAGTTTTATAAGGTAATTCTTCTTGTACCCCAAACTTGTGCACAAATTATTCACTGTCTATGTACACATACATTTTTAGCATAAAATCATACTCCGTATCTTTTTTCAAACGCAGTGTCTGTTTACACGGGCAGTAGGGAGGTTGTGTACAATTTGTGTACTAATTTTGTGTACAAATGTAATTTTTGTTTAAGGCAACCTACCATTGAGTAGGAGGGCGTCTATGAGATTTTTGTAATAGTTGATTCCATCCCAGTTAATATTTCCATGCCTACCTCCTGCACTTATCAACAGTGATTAGAATGATTCAAATGTTTGACACTAATTTCCTGAATTATTGAGGAGAGGAAATGGATTATTCTAACTTGGGAGAACACGAGACCATGAGATTGAAATCTTGTGCGCATTGATTCCAAGAGAGGCCAACAGTTCCGCATCTCCCTATTTTCGACAAAAAATAAAGAGAGGTGGATGAGATTGATTACAACTATTCAAAGAAAATTACTAGACAACTCTTCATAATACTGTTTCTTGGAGGGTGTTTGGTAGGATGGGAAGTAAATGTGCCCTTTTGCATGTAATGTGTAGGTCGAGATCAAGGTAAAGAGTTTGTTTCGATTATTTAATGAAAACTATCACATTTTATAAAAATGATTCGCTGAGCCTTATACAATGTAAATGTTTAACGTGAGGTGGTAAAGGTCACCAGTTTCATAAGATACTACTTCCGTAACACTAGAATCTTCCCAAATTGAAAGTAAGTGAGATTATGAATAGTGATAAGGGATATAAATTATTGAGGGTATGATGAGAAGATAATAAAATAATGGAGTGGAATACTGAAATGAAGGATAAATTCAAAAAAGAAAGTGAAATAGTGTTTATGTTTAAAATTATTGATGATATAATGAGAAGGTTTAAAAATAAGATGATTATTTAGTTACAACAAGTAAAAAAGGAAGTGTGAAGATCTTTATAACTTAGTTGATGCGACTATTATAGCTTATTTTTGAGTTAATAAATAAGAATGAATCTACACCCTTCATTGTTTTAAAATGAGTGGTCTCAGTAAACTTTTCATTAATATTTTGTTGTAAAGTTTTAAGGGATAAGTGTGCAACAAAAAAGAGAAAACTGTGTCATGATAAAAAGTACAGTCATGTAGTACAGTAGTACGAGTAATAACAACATTGTACTTCTTCCTGCGAATTTTGTTTGATACGTGGTATTTGATGTGGGGTTGAGTAGGTGTACATATACTTTTTTGTACACTTGTCTGCTAGGGACAGACAAGTATACAAAAAAGGTGTACATATTTTGTGTACACTACACATTTTTCTTTGACACTACAAAAAAACACGGGATTGACAGAGATTTTGGCAAAGATTTTGGCAGGGATATGCCAAATCCGTGTCAAAAACACTTTGTCACGAGCTATTTAGCATGAAAAATCGGTTAGTCCATGCCAAATTCCGTGCCAATCCCGTTAGTGTGATGTGCCTTTGACGCGCACTAATACATTATTTGTATGCATGTACTTTTTAGTTTTTACACATTGAAGTTTAAGAAATTAATGAAAATGTTAACACGTTTTTGTTCTAAAATTTTATGTTACCCATACATTCTATTTAATCCTGATTAATTCTTATTTTTTCATGTAAGTCTTTTTGCTTGAACCAAACTATATATAAAATACCTCATTCGTCCATACTAACTTGTTAACTTCTTAATATGATCATCTAAAAAAGGTTTAACATATTTAAATGATCATTGTACATATAATGATCTCATTTATCGTGAGAATAAAAAGTGTCTAGAATGAAAATTAGGGATGAAAATGGTGAAATCGAGAACCAAAACATACTTTATAATTAGTTTCGGTTAGCATCCAATATTCGCATATTTCGATTGACTTTTTTAAATTCAGTCGTTTTTCAAATGCAAAGACATAAATAGAACTATCTCGAGTGTGGTAAAGTTTATTTGATTCTTTTTATTTGGTTCGATTTTCTGGTGGAAAGGTCTTTAATATGGATAAATCTATTAATTACTCCGTATTGATCAGATATGTGATTGAATAAAATTAAAAAGCATAAAAAATGGAAACAATCTACAGTTAATGAATATATATATATATATATATATATATATATATAGGGTAAGGTTCAAGTGAGAAGAACCCTTTGGGTGAGAAATGAGAATGAATCTCAGCCATTGGATTCGACTAAGTTGCAATAAAAGACACTTCATGATGCACTGAAATATGCAATCTAGCACCGTGGCATTTCTGTAAATACTTCTGAAAAATCCGTATTACACGTGTCTAGTGCAACATGAAGCTATTTCGGTGCAACGCCATCAAATATTAGTGTAACATGAAACAATTTTAGTGCAACATGTGTAAAATTTAAATATTACTGCAACATAAAGCCAAGTTTAGTGCAACTTCGTAAATCCAATGGCTGAAATTCATTCTCATTTCTCACATTAGATGCATTTCTCACCTGAACCAAAATCTATATAATTTTCTCTAAACTTAAATTAAGAGTTACTTAGGATGTTTTTAATTGGACTGGACTTTTCTCATCTGATCTGTTATGTAAGTATTGTCTGCTCTGGTCTAAACTGGTCTAATCTTGTCTGGTAGAGATCTGGTCTCTATGTATATCATAATTGTCGAAGTCAGGTTTAGTCTAGTCTGTTTAAATCTGGTCTGTTTTGGTTTGTTTAATTAAGTCTGATCTGGTCTCATCTGGTCTTGGACTGAAAACAATCAAAATAAGAACATTTTTAACTATCATTAAAGGAGAGGAGGTAAAAGTACATTTTTATAATGTTGGAGTGTGAGTAATAGTACATCAAACCTCAAGGAGGTCAATAATAATTTCCCTATAAACACACTCTTTAGTTTTTGTAAATTTTCAATACTAGTACTATCTACTCCCTCCGTTTCCAAAAGAAAGTCACACTTTAACTTCACAATTATTAAGGAAATAAATTGACTTTACCGTAGAGTACACTGTTTAGACACTGTTTAACATTGTTTGGACACTGTTTGACACTGTTTTGATGTAGATTTCTTTGTCAAATAAAGAAATAAGGAAAGTGTGACTTTAATTTTGAAACATCCAAAATGGGAAAATGTGACTTTGATGCAAAACGGAGGAAGTATTATTTAAGCTATTATTAAAGCTATTTAGACCTATCTAATACGATAAAGTAAATTAAAATCCGTGTGAAATGACTAGTGTGAAATAATTAGACCGCGAAATGACTTGTATATTTAGATAAAGTCCGAACTGCAACGTTGATACCTGATAGAGATGGTACTGATCAACACTTACATCTGCGGTGCTTCCATCACAAATGGTTCCTGCAACATTTGATTACATTCTTTTTTAGGAATAGACGGGAATAGTATAGAAACAGTGTTCATTATACGTACGTACGTAGTACTTCGTATATGACTGGCCTGGTCGTCGGTTCATATAGAATGTCGAAAACGTTAGATTCGAATTTAAAGCGAAAGTAAAAATAGTTGTACTTGTAAACATGTGCATGTTTTAGTCCATTGGTCACCAAAATTTACTCTGAAGGACTGACCTGGTTTATGTGAGTAAACATCCCAGGTGTTCAGTGATTTACCATCACTTAAGAAAGCCCCTTCATACTGCATGCAACAAAGATTCATAATTTTTGAATACCCAACCCAAATTATACTATGCTTAGGAGTTACGAGTGTTTGGAACTGATTCTACTTGTGTCTTTTTTTTAAGCATAAGCAGAAGTAGAAGCAGAATCATTTTTCAGTAACTGGTCTCTTCCTGCTTCTAAACAAACTGCTTCTGTAAATTAGAACACCATAAATACTTCTGCACTTTCACTCAAATTGTGAATGGGAAGAAGATCGAATAGAAAGACCTGATAAGCAGAGGAAGTCGTTCCGAAGAAGAAGTTGGGTGGAAAAGGGGAAGAAGAAGGGTCCTGTGTGAAAACATTATGAAATTGTGAAGACACCAGTAGAGGGCTGAGTACTAGCACCAGCAGAAGTTGGTGTAAGTGAGAATTGGAAGTTCCCATTTTGTTGGAGTGAAGAGTGGAGTTGGATGCCATCCATTTTATAGGGGGAGGAGTTTGGATTGATCTGGTCCGTTAATATCTAACACGTGTCATTGATTAGTCTTGGCAGAACCAACATTTTCAGATGGAAAAGTTTGTGTGTGATTGGATTGGCACCACCGACAACCATAGACTCTTCTGCAAAATTGAAACAAAAGAGTATTATTTCTAGGAGAGAAATGCTAGAGGTACCCCATTTTGTACCCCATTTTGTACCCCATCCTATGTTTGTGGCTCACAAAAATCCAACCCAATTAAAATAATTGCTCCATTTTAACTCAATGCTTTTGTGAACCACAAACATAGGAGGGGGTACAAAATGGGGTACAAAATGGGGTAGCTTTAGCATTAGTGTATTTCTAGTTAAAAAACATTGCTGCTTCTCCCAAATTAATTTGTAAAGTAACATATTTTTGTCAACCAATATTAAAGTTAAATCTTTTATATTGATAATTAATTCAATTTTTAATAATTAAAATTTACATATTCAAAAACTACATTAAAATATCTTCAGAGTTGCAAATTCCAAATTAGAATATAATTAAAGTTTTATTTTAAAAATATTACTAAAATAAGACTTATTTACACAAATATGACCAATACTTACTCCAATGTATTTTCATGGTAACTTATGTTTAAAAATAAAACATAAGTTACTATGATTTCAGTGCCACTCCAGTAGTAGTCACATTTTTGTAAACAATCTCCATTTTAGTCATGAATATGTAATTATTTTTTTTCTATAATTAAACAATGGTATCTTAATTAAGTGAATAAAATGAAACTGTTTGAGAAAGAAAAATCGATTTTGCAAATTAATTTGGAACAAATGTAGTCATTATAAGCCCCATTAATCATATTTCAGCCTTATTTTTCATTCAAAAATAGGTGTGAAATAAAAACAATAAATTAAACTCTAAATTAGCTATTTTTCGTTGAGTGTTTGCTTTGACTTTTAATCACAATTATTCACAAATAAATTTGACGAAATTGAATTGACATACAATAACAAAACGAAGTTTTTAACCAAAAAAGTGTATTGGGTAGACGGAAAAAACGAAAAATATATTAACAATGCCGGGTTGTAGCGATAAAACGGAATTGGCGAGTAAAATATACTACCTCCGTTCTTAAATAAGTAGCAACATTAGAATTTGTACGCTACTCATGTGCTCCACTTTGACTATAGTTTATTTATGAATATAATGCTTTGAAATTTTATTTTTTAAAAAATATAATTGAATTGTTTGCATATTAAAATTTTGAGATGTGATTTTATTCAAAATTTTACTATTAGGAAATTAAATATATTAATTATCAAAGTTGTGTGCTGGAAAACATAAAAATCAAAGCGTTACAAGTACTATCTCCGTCGCAAAATTATCTTACAAAATACATTTAGTACGTGGATTAGGATAGTGAGTATTATGTTGTAAAAAATTGTGCAGAGAACAGAAAAATGTGTTAGAATATAATCTCTTCGTCCCATTAACACTTTGTCAAGTTTGACCGGCACGCGGATTAATAAAGTAAAAACTGTGTGGTTGAGGTTTGTGCAGAGGAGAGATAATTAATTGGAACCACAAATTCTTTACTTGAAAAGAAAAGTGAAAAAGTTAGTAGGACATCCAAAAAGGAAAGTTGACAAAATTTTAAGGAACGGAGGGAGTATAAAAATGTGTAAGAAATGTTGTAAATTGCAAATTCTTTGCCAAAAAATATTGTATAATACTACCTCCGTCCCGTAAAGAAGTTCTCACTTTCCTTTTATGGATGTCCCAAAAAGAAGTTCTCATTTTCATAAATGAAAATCACTTTTGTCCCAAAAGTCACAACAACCCTTACTTTTTATTCACTTTTTGCTTAATTTGACATAAAGTAAGGGTAAGTTTAGAAAGTAAAAAAAACTCTTCATTACATAAATATGTGTGTAGGTCAAACTTGAAACTTCATTGCGAGACGGAGGGAGTAATATTTTGGGATGGACCAAGATGAAAATTTTGAAAATAATTCTGTCATTGAGAGAGTAAGAAAGAACGATTTTTTTGGCAAACCAATATTGATTTTATTGATAAAACTGAATTGGAATTGTTGTGTTTTCGTATTTTCAGTTAAGATGGATTATTTTAAGAGTGGTTTAGGTATTTCTCCCGACCAACGGACCAAGACATCAGGGACCACCCCCAATGTTAGAAGTTATAACATGCATCGTGATTGAGCACTACAAATCGTCATGTCACATCACCAACCTAGCCTTCAATCTATCATCCCCGATGCATCATTATTGAGTAGAGTTTTGGATATCCTGTACCCATATGTGTACATATACACACACATTTGGACAGAAAGTTCTGTTCTCTTTTAAACAAATTGCCTGTGTACACAGACAATTCTGGGCGGGTGAGTACAAAATGGGGTACATTTTGGGGTACCTATAGAATTTTTGTATTGAGTAACAACAAAAATTGGAGCCCCTCCAGTCGTGCTTCGTACTACCTCCGTTCGTAAATAAGTGTAACATGTGAAATTTTACACTACTCACATGTTCTACTTTGACTACATTTTATTTATTGATGTATTAATATATATTTTTGAAAAATATATTATTAAATTTGTCTCATTGTAAATTTTCAAAAACTGATTTTTTTTAAATTTTTTACTGATAGAGAATTATATATATTAATGGTCAAAAATGTGTCTCGAAGAGTGTGAAATGTTCACTGTAACACTTATTTAAGAACGGAGGAAGTATATTTTTTTATTCTTCGCCAAAAGTTAAGAGGCCTTGATTACACTGTTTTTCGGCTTATCAGCCAATTTTTTCACCAAACACATAATTTTTTTCGCGCTCTGAATTGTGTAATAAGCAGAAAAAGTAAGGTTGAAGTTATTTTTCAGGCAGTATTGGCTGAAGTTTTTGTAGATGACCATTTTGGTTATTTTTATATACTACCCCCATCCCGCTAAAAACTTCCTACTTTGACCTACACACATATTTAGGAAATAAATTTGATTTTACTGTAGAGTACACTGTTTCGACACTGTTTGGCACTGTTTGACACTGTTCTGATGTAGGATAACTCTCCATTTAGGTAAATGAGAAGATCATTTTGAGACGGCTAAAAAAGGAAAGCAGGAAGATCTTAGCGGGACAGAGGGAGTATAACTTTTTCTTTATTTTATTAATAAAATATATTTTAAAAATATATTTTCTAAAATCAGCAGAATTAGCCAATGCAGCCACTTCAGCCAGAACATCATAAATCGCAGCAGAATCAGCCAAATCAGCCGATTTTTTTGCTAGCAAACTGGCTCTAAATGTTTGAATGTACTTTTTATTGAGTATTATACTTCCTCCGTCCCCCAATTAGGTTCCCCATTACTTTTCACACTTATTAACATAAAAAATATACTGAGGGGTAAACTTTACTGTTTTGACACTATTTTGACACTGTTTGAACACTATTTGACACTATTTTGCACTGTTTTGATGTGGTTAATTTGCCAAATAAGGAAAGTAGAACTTAATTCAGGCACTACCCAAAAACGAAAGGGGAACTTAATTGGGGGACAGAGGGAGTATTCAAGTAAATTTCCTCTATACAAGTAAAACATTATAAAAGTGAAATAAGAATATAAATGTACTGTTGCTCCAAGTTCATATTTCATTTATATTCTTAATTTCTTATATTCAACTTCTTTATAGTAAAACTTTAGAGAAAATTGTCAATTTGGTCTTCGTACATCCAATTGAGTTCGGGAACTTGAAAAAACCACTCAATTTAGATTTTTAGGCAGTCATCTCCCGATTAGCCTGGTGCTAGCTGACCTGGACTGCTCCGTGGCATGTCCAGTTTATGTCTTTTTCTTTCTTCCCATCCCACTTGTAGCATTCCTCCTCCTTCTCTGGTTCTTTTGTCCTTTCTCTTTTTTGTTTTCCATATCCCATTCTGCTTCTTCTTCCACTTCTATTTTCTCCGGTGGTAGTTTGCTAAGCCCTAACCTTAGGGAGATTTACCAAAAGACGGGAAAGATGAGATTGGGTTGCCAAAATACGGGGATTTTTCTAGGGTTTACCAAAAAGCGTTAGTCGGAATTGGGTGTTCCGACTAGGTTTTAGGGTTAAAAAAAAACTCCTCCCCTAGTCGGATTAGGGAGTTCCGACTAGGTTTTGACTTGGTTTTTAAATACTCCTCCCCTAGTCGGATTAGTGAGTTCCGACTAGATTTTATTTATTTATTTATTTATTTTTGAATTTTGTTTTTGATTTTGAGTTCGTAAAAAATAAAAAGTGTTAGGGCTAAGTTATATTAATTCCAAATTTAAATTTTTTTTTAGATTCATGACATATTTTTTAAAATGAAAACTTACCATTATGATTTTTTTAGTAAGAAAACAATTGATTGCTTTAAATTGTTTTTTAATCCATTTGTATTGTGAATTTTGTTTTAATTACAATTTTTGTAATTTTAAGTGCAATTTTGATTTACTCCATTCGTCTAATTAGATAAAAGTTTGATTTTGTTTTAAGTGAATTTTTTTGTAATTTTAATGGAAGTGAACAAAACAAATGTAGTTTTCAATGTAATTTATTAATGAATAGACAGTACATACAATATTAAATTTAATACTACATCTAATGTTGCGTGCTCGGCCCTGCTCCGTCCCCACCGCCAGTGTTCCAAGGCCCCGTTGTGTCTCCATAGTAAAAAGACGAATTCAGAAATGACTCAACATAATCATCCTCGTGAACGCCTTGCTTCTACATAAAAATGTAACACGTGTAAATAATATGACACGATATATGGTAGCGAATATGGTATGTATTCAAAAACTTACCACCATACCCCAATCATGTTTTGTCGGGGTGTAGCCTGTCGTGGGCACATTGTGAGAAGGGTTCTGGACACGTGTCATACCATGCTTCTTGTACCACTTTCGGTACCTATTAGTTGCTTCGAGGGACATATGTCGATCATAATCAAGAA